GCTCCGGATCAAATTTTGAAATAAGGATTTTTAGTACGTATCATTTTCGTACGTTATACGTAACTTTCGAGCTTTAGAACACTAGGAAAGAAAAATCCAGCGTTCTCGAGATTTTGCGTGGTTACTGGGCATACCTTTAACTAAAAAAAAACGTGGACACTCGGGAGTTTCAATCATTTTTCACGAAGTTGCGCCTAGGTAAATGAAAAAAGAGAAAAACGCGATTTTTAACACGTTTTTACAGTCGACATGTCGAAATAAAAAAAATATCGGATCAAAATTCTAAAAAAAGCGTCTTATAGGGGAGACTTTGAACTTTCCAAAAAGCCCATGGCAGATGTCGTACGAATTTATTGCGGAGCCACGAATGTTTAAAGTTAAAAGTACAAATTTTGCTTTAACCGCCAATAACTCGTTAAAAAACAATCGCACATCATTCACTAAAAAAACAAATTGTTGAGAATTGTATGAGCTTTAACGTTATGAAATCGGTTCTTGACAAAAAAATTTTTCTGAACCATGCACGTTGCTCAATTTAGGGAAATTTTTTTAATTTCTGGATTGTCCGTTCAATGGAGGATAACTCAGTTAAAATTGATGATACGGAAGTTTTCTGCGAAAATTCAGAAACTAGAAGATCCAAGCTTCAAAACGCTTTTTTTAAAGATTTTTTTCGTCTATTTTTCGCGGAAATACAGCCGCTCAGAAAATACCCAAAAATCGACCGAAAATTTTCTATCCCCTAATTTTGACGCGTAGTGTACTTTTAACATTATTTATTGTTTCCAACTTTTAAAAAATTAACGTTTCTCGAAACCACACGATAGGTGAGTCTGAAAAAATTGAGTTCTAAACTAACAAATCTACTAAAAATTATAAAACTTATTAGAAATATAAAAATATACTGCTGTAAATTGTTTAATAATCGTATTAAGTTGTTTAATATTACAAATTGATTCCGAATTTTTTTTATTACAATACATAAGAAATACGTAACGTCCTTAATACATTAATAATATAATAATGCCATTTACTTTTTGTGTGCAAGGCATCTATACAAAATTAGATAGATATAACTCAATTTTTTGTTTTTAAAGCGGAATTTATGTATGTATGTCAATTTATATACATTTACATATCAATAAATCGCCCACTGTAGAATATGTCGGTTTTCGAAACATCTTAATAAAATCCTTCAAATCGAACCGTGAGAAAAGCAATAGAAACAAAAGCAAATTAAAAAAACTTTTATTAAAAAGCTACACAAAGTATGTAAAATAACTTGTTATAATATAAAAGTATAATTGTTATTTATATATATATATATATATATATATATATATATATATATATATATAATATA